GTGTGTGTGTGTGTGTGTGTTGTAATGTTCGCTATACACAAGTCCACAAAAAAAATATTGACTGTGCCAAAAACTGTTTTGTTGGACTTTGACTGACTCGTCAGGAAGTTGAATTCTGACAGTCTGCCCAGGATACGCTTGACTGATGGATGAGGACTCGCCACGTCACTCAGAGTTAGGAGTATCCCTGAGAAAAGTGGTAAACTCAACTCGCACCTACCCCGCAACCGTAGCTGAAGTGTGTGTGTGTGTGTGAAAACACATCAAAAGTATCTGCTGTGTGTTGCACTCTGAACGGTCACCTTGCAGTAGAAACCCATGCACAAAGAGCTGATGACAATTCTCTCATAGCGCTTCTCTGGACAGGACGACCGCCGAAAGGGTGGAAGACAGAAAAGAACACGAAAAAAATGAAGGACGGGAAAGAGACAAAGATCATAACAGACTGTTTTGTTGGTGGAATTTCACAGACTCATCAGAAGTGTGGTCACGCAAGGGGTCCGAGAGAGCCATGGCCAATCCAGCGTGGCACAGTGTGGCAGCGCCACGACAGGTTTATTACGGATTTTCTGGCAGAGAGAACAGGATAAAGGCACCAGAAGAGGGAAAAAAAAGGAGTGGAAACCTCATGCCCAGAAATCATGGCGTGGTGCTTCCCAGTAGTTTACTGAACAACGTGTGTTTAGGGCATGAGGCCTCACTGTGCACGCACAGTCTCGAACCAGCACCCTCAGCCTCAAGAACAAAGTCTTGTAACCAACACAGGTGGTGCTATGGGCTGTAGTGTCCTTGAACTCACACCACACACACAACATAACACCTCGGACACTGCAATCAACACACTCCGCTTGGACAACATGCAGCCCAACCACTGCTACTTAACCTGGTCACTCCAAAGGCGCCTTCGCAGTAGTTTACCGGACAACGTGTGTTTAGGGCATCAGGCCCTGCCATGGACGCACAGCCTTGAACCGGCACCCTCAGCCTCAAGAACAAAGTGTGGTAACCACTACAACCCTTGGAGGTGTTATGAAAAGAGGATCCATACCGGTCATGATATTGAAGGAGCACACATGGGAAGGGGGAAACAACAGAGACAATTAAAGATATAATCATGAAACAGGCAACCAGGGCACCATGGACAAAGACAGTACACAGTCAATGAAGCCCCTCTCCAAAAAGGCGGACATCAGATGTCGAATAAATGACTTCTGCATTGATTGGCTGGGAGGGGAACGAGGGGGAAGAATAGCAAGGGTCCAGTGGGAGGGCTGGCACTTGGACGACAATCACCGCTTGGAAGCCCCTCAAAAGAACTACGGTTTATGCTTCAATGACTAGACCAAGGCCGGCAACGATATCTACCTCCCCCCCCCCCAACAGATTTCCCGGATCCATTTCCCCTCCCTAGCCATACACTGACCGAATTGAGTTGGTACGGCAGGGAGCAGGGCGGGCCCACTCAATTGGGCTAGGAGGGAGCCAGATAGATTGGCAGCGGGAATGGAGGGAAGGGCCATCTATTTCGGGACACCCGTTGCAGTTGGAAGCTCTCCCCTCATCATACCCACTGCTGCTCCCCACCAATAGATTGGAGCCACCCGGGGGGTATCAGAGAGGCTGCTCTCTCTTATCACCCTCAAGGTCTGTTTGGTTGACAAAAAAGAAAAAAGAAAAAGGAAAAGAGTATTCTCTGCCCCTCTCCGGAGCCTGGCTGAGCACCGATCGAAGTTCCAAATTTTTGTAATGAAATGTTCAAATGTTCAAATTCTTCCAAACAAACACCGGATTGTCCCTCCACATCTCAACTACCGTCTTCCCCCAAACACAACGCACCCACATTTTTAACGTATCGGGCCGGAAACATATCTTGTATACGTTCATTTTCAGGGTGCGTTATGTTCGGGGGAAGACGGTAGGAGTACCGGGGCAGTACCCTCAGAATGCATGATTACCAAACAAAATGGAGGAACTGAACTAACAAATCAAGATTTTCCACGTTGTGTCGAACCAGACCTTCAAGGCCTTGAGTAGGCGTAGAACCGCTCCAATACTCCGCAGTTCTGCTAACGTGCACCCCATCTCTGGCACCGTTCATTGAGTCTCATCGGATACTGCTATCCGTTCGATCTGTGGCTTTTCGCATCGGGTGGTGCTACTCGTTCGATCTTCGGAATTTTCCTGCAATCCGCAAGTCGGACACAAAAGAACAACATGCCAGCGGAAATCGCGCCGCGTCACGTCACGGTACGTGCTAACACAGAACCAAACGTCTGTGGCTATGATCCCTGTTTCTGGGCTGTATTGTCATGAGCACTATGTACGTTGCGGTCTTCGCGCTCCGTGCGCGATATTCGCTATTCACTGAAAAAAAGCATGACTGTGCCAGACTGTTTCGTCGGACTTTCACCGACTCGTCAAGAGGTTGTGTGTGTGTGTGTGTGTGTGTGTGTGTGTGTGTGTGTGTGTGTGTGAGAGAGAGAGAG